TCAGGGGAAACCCAACACAGTGGTGCCATGACTCAGATCCCCTCATCTGGAGCAGGTAACGTATACACCCCTTACAGTAAGGGGCGCGACCCAGTGTTAAAGGAAATGGCATTGGAAGGGTTTAACGGTTTAAACAAAGTTAGCACCACACTGGAAAAGTAGGTTAAATCTAAGGGACGCCCCAGAAGTATTACAGGGAAACTAGGACTGGGTGAAAAAAGGAACTCCAGAGAGTGGTACTGGAGAGAGAGAAAAGAAAGCATGGCAGAGCACCGCAGTGGTCCTCCGAATGCCACTGAAGTGTTCAAAAATTCCTGAAAAAAGGCAGGAGGAAAACAATGTCTATTCCCTATCTGCATAAATCCAAAGTAAAAAGCAGGCGCCCTTCCAGGACTATATTTAGTGAGTACAGTTTTGCAGCAAAATGAACAAAGTTAAAAAAGAAGTGCAAAAAACAAACAATAAGCTTAGAGCCCCTGAAAAAAATGTCAGTTTAAAAAATAATTAATTTAAAAAAACCCTTAAAAGTTAAAAAAAAGCTTTTGGACAAATAAACCCTGCTGAGTTGAGAAGGAATTAAACAGTTGGGGGTTGCAAAAATGTTTAAAAGGACGTTAACATGTTAAAGAAGAGAATGCTCAGTTTAAGATTGAAACCCAGTGATGGCAGTAAAACTCTGTGCAGTCATGTCCGGTGACACCCTTGGTCATAAAATAATTTATGCAACGGGGAGGTCAAGTGGTGACAACTACCACCACTATATGCTTTCCCCCCGAAACGCCTTTACAGCCATTCTGAAGGAAGTGGGCCCTTCCCAATGAATGTGTCTGGAAATAATTAACTGCGCCGGCAGCTGCGGGCAGAGTGACAATCTCATTTGAGTAACTGGACTATAAGTAATTCAGTCAAAATCTCTAAAAAGCAAATGGGGATTTCAATATGGTTTCACTGCTTCCAGATATACGAGTGAAAATGTGACAAAATCTGACATAAAAATATAATTAAGAGCAGTGCAAAGGGCATTAATCAGCTCAAACCACAGATTGGAAAAAGGGGAGAAAACACCTAGTCAGTTAAAAAAATACCGCCCATCACACAAAAATAAATGTAAGGGTAACAATCAGGTTACGAACGCCTCAAAGAGCAGCACTCCGTCCACTCTGCCTACAATGCCAACCTCAAAGGTTTCTGCTACCACTGGCTGGAATTATTTTATTTTTTTTGGCTGATTTTCAACCACATCACAGAGCTGGTCACATTTTGGGGAAAATTAACATGTTGATGAAAAATATTCAGCCCGATTCCAGCTGCTACTTTGTGCTCCCTCAAAACCTTCCTTAAGACCCCCCCCCCGTACTGCAATGCCCGTAAGAAGCATTTGCAGGTTAATGGTAGATCCAGGAGGAGAGCCCAGACTGTGAGTCAAGCAATCTGGGTTCTCCTCCACTACCACTAATCTGATAAGGGACCTTGGGCAAGTAACTTCACCTATCTGTGCCTCTCGCTAGGACCATCTCTCGCTAAGTGTTTGTACCCAGCCTGGCGCCATGAGGCTGTTTGGATATTACGGCTAAGTCAGGCAGTAACAGGGTTGTGAGAGTATGGAATGTAAGGTGAGGCTAGACGTAATTGTGCAGCTCTAAAATGCTGGACTGGAGCCACGGGAGTGGGGGGTTGTTATGTGAAACTGAATAACGATTGCTACAGAAAATTGGGTGGCTTTCCTGCAAACTCTGATTCCGCGGTGGGAAGAAATACAGGCAATGCAATCGGTCCTACCTGCGTACCCTGACCTATTGCCAGCTCAGTGGATTGTTGCCATGAAGTCCCACCCTCTTTCAGACAGAGGACTGTAACCCCAGTGCCCTTGTCATAATGTATTTAACCCCCACCATAAAATTCCAGGGCTGATCCTTCTAGCCTGGACTATGCTGGCAGAAATCAAGCACAGAATTCAGCACTCTCAACTCAGATGCACTGGCCAAGTAGACAGGAAAAGAACAGCGAACTTTTGAATCTCATTTCCGGAGACTGCGGGAACTGTGGGATAGCTACCCACAGTGCAACACTCCGGAAGCCGACGCTTGCCTCGGTACTGTGGAAGCACTCCGCCGAGTTAATGCACTTAATGCACTTAGAGCATTTTCTGTGGGGGGACACACACTCGAATATATAAAAACGATTTCTAAAAAAACGACTTCTATAAATTCGACCTAATTTCGTAGTGTAGACATACCCATAGTGTAGACAGGGCTCAGGCATTTTTCTCCCTGTATGATGTCTAACACCGCTCAGAGCAGGGTTAAACAGCAGAGTGGTTAAGAACAGCTGAGCCCTGCCTAGGGAAGCACTTTCACTATTATTACCATCTATGGATCTACACCACCAGGGAACCGTGGGGTTTATTTTTGCCAACCCAGAGGCAACCTCTGTTAAACTCTGCCTCAGTGATGACCCCATACCTGTCCTAGAGCTTCACTTCCGCAGGAGTTTGACAGAAACATCGGAAAGATCCACATCCTCCCCCATTCTCCCAGTAGAAACGCAATTTAGCATCTATCCTCGTATGGTGATTTCCTCTCCCTAAACGCCCGATTTAGGAGAGGCGGGTGGACTCGCCCTCCCACTCCTGGGAGATGCTGTGTGCTGCCGATGCCCCTTGACAAACACATTTTATTGGAGGGCCTCACCACCCAGGCAAGTGGTTTCCATCCCAGCTCACATGGCCGCTTTCTCCCCTTGCTTCCTTTCCCGTTAGTGTCTATCCATAGTTCCTTTTCACCACCCTCCTCTGAGCAGAGAGGACCAGCAGGGCACCAGCAGGTAACTCTCTCCCAGATTGCTACTGAGGAGCTAGACCTGGCAGGGACTTGCAACATTTGGATTTTTAACACTCCCAAACATCACAGGGGTTTGAAGGCTGGGAATTTTGTTTAAGCCACTCGCTAACGCACGTGGTGTCAGGCTTTACCTGTACATTTAATCATTGAAATTCACAGTTCATTTCAAGGGGTAGCGACCCACATAGGGTGATTATGCAGATACCTACCCCTTAGTAACCCCGCAAGTCAGTCTTTGTCCCTCTCTTGTGGCTGATTCACAGAAGGGGTTGAAGAGTCTGTGGCTTCTAATCGAGGGTACATCTAGACTGGCATAAAAGGCATCTCTTTAAAGCGAGTTAGCGACACATTTTAAAATCCTGCTGTGGACAGGACAAGTTGTATTTTAATGTGTGTTAGCTGGAATTGTTAAAATACCTCTTGTTCGGTCCACAACACTAGGGTTTGAAAACACGTTGGCTACATTGCTTTAACCAATAGGTTTTGAAAACACACCTTTTATCCGAGCCTAGACAAGCCCTAAGGGATTTAATTCTTTATTCAATTGTTAGAGGCTTATGCTTTTGTTACTGAAGGTCCTATCTAACTCACCTGACTGGCCCACGTTGGTTCAAGTTACATATGCCCAATAAAGTATTTCCAGTCTCCTGTAACAAAACCATAGTCACCTAGGATTTCCTAGTGCCCACGCCATGGCTACTTAGAACTTCACTGTGACATGTGGCAGCCCAGATCCTCCTGCTCCCAAAGCATTAGCCCACACCATTTTTTATTATTATTTGTATATGGTAGCGCCCAGGAGCTTTAGTCATGGACCAGGACCTCATTGTGCTAGGCCCTGTACAAACACAGAACAAAACAGTCCCTGCCCCGAAAGATCTTAAAGGAGAATCTCCATTAGCAGCATAATGTTTATGACCCAGGTGAGTGGTGCTCACTCCATCCAGTAGAGGGCAGTCCCGCATGCACTCTAGACAGGACTTTCAAGTAACAACTAATAATTATTCAACCAATTCCCCCCTTCAAACTCTGCCGTGCCTGCACACCTAGAGTTACCTCTACCCTAAGAAAAGTCTTCAGTGTAAAAATGCCTCCTCTCGCCCAGCTACTATAAGGCTGGCTAACAAGGCTTTGCCAAGCTCTCTCGAGAGGATGTTCAGATTTCGGAAGCCAACAAGGATGACAATATTTTTAGCCCAAAGGTTAAAATTTTCTGCGAAGAAGTTAAGCGCCTGAAAAGGTGCTTTTGTTAGGATACGCTCCTCGCCCCAGCATCCGCATCATCCACACCCACTTTGGCTTTGTATCACCCAATTCCAAAGCAAAGGCACTCTCCACAACATGCCCAGGGCCAGAACGTCTCAATCAGGACAAATCCCCCTTCCCCCAGCTCACACACGCCAGGTATGTGTCACCCCGGGAGTCCCCTGAGCAGTTTGGTTCTCCCTGAGCCCCCCAGCGCCTCCTGCAGCAAAAGGACAGGGGGCTGGGGCACGGGGAAGCGGGGTGGGAGGGATTTGGGGACAGGGGGATAGGTGAGGGACACTGGGTCAAGAAGTAGGTAGTAGGGGAGATCTGAAGACAGGTGGTAAGGGATCTTTGGGGGAATGTGCAGGGGGTTTGGAGGGTCCCCTGGGACAGGGGATAGGAGCTCCATAGGGAAAGTGCAGGGGGGAGGGTCAGGGGTCTCCTGGTACAGTGTGTGTGTGTGTGGGGGGGGGGGAACGGGGATCCCCTAGGGAAGGAGGGAGAGTCAAGTATCCCCTGGGACACCAGATAGGGGCTCCCTAGGGAAGATGAATAGGGGTTTGGGGGTTCCCTGGGTGGGTTGGGGGTCCCTGGGGCAGTGGATGGAGGCTCCGGAGGGGGGTGGCAGGGGTCCCCAGGGCAGGGGAAGGGGGAGCCTTGGGGGATCGGGGGGTCCCCGGGGCAGGGCGGCTCCCCGGGGAGGGGGGTCAGGGGTCCCCAGGGCAGGGGACGGGGACTCCCTGGGGGGAATTCGGGACAGGAGGGGGGGTCTCCCGGGAGGGGCTTCGGGAGCTCCCTGGGGAAGACCCCACCCGGGGATCCTGCGGCACCTCTCGAGCCCCCGGACCGTGGCTCCGCGCAGCGCCTGTTCCAGCCCGTCCCCGGCCGCCCGGCCGCCCGCCCCGCACTCACCCGCCGCTCGCTCCCCGCTGGCCGGCTGTGGCTGCGGCACGTGGGGGCCGCTGCCCCGGTCCCAGCCCCGCCCGCCGCGGCTGGGAGGGGAGCGCATCGTCCCCCGGCTGCAGCCATCGGCACCGCCCGTCCCGGGGCAGGGCCACCTGCTACCGCTGCCCCACACTGCCGCCGGGGGGCGCCTCTGCCCCAGCTCGGGGCACGGGGCTCCTCTCCCCGATCCGTGTCCCTGCTGCCCCTCCAGCCTCTGGCGACGAGCCCCTGCCCCCTCCGGTACCCACCAAGGGGCCCCCCCCCCCCCCCCCCCCCCCTGCCCCCCGCCCCCCCCCCCCCACGGGGGGGGTCCCCCCCCCCCCCCTATGCCAGCCCCCCCGCCCCCCTGCCTCCCCCCCCCCCCCCCCTGCCCGGGCTCCCGGCCCCCCCCCCCCCGCCCGCGCCCCCCCTCCCTCCGCCCCTCCCCCCCCCCTCCCCCCCCCCCCCCGCTCCCCCCCCTCCCCCCCCCTCCCCCCCCCCCTGGTCCCCCTCTCTTTCCTGGCCCTTCCCTCCTGCTCCCGCTCCCTCCCTCCTCCCTTGCGTCCCGGTTTTCTGTCCTCCCCCTTTTCCCGTCCCCTGGCCCCGCCCCCCCGCTTCGTTCCCTGGCCCTGGGTCCTGGGCCCTCTCCCCTGTCCTCTTTTTTGGGGTTGTTCGGTCCCCGCCCCCCCCCCCTTTGGTTTCTTGTTTTTTTTTTGTTGGTTTTCTGGTTTTGTGGTGTTTGCTTGTGGCCCTCTCCCCCCTCCCCCTTGGCCTGGGCTGGGGGGGGGGGGGGGGGGGGTGGTGGGGGGGTGGGGGGGGGGGGGGGGGGGGTTTGGGGGGGGGTTTTTTTTTTCTTTTTTTTTTCTTCTTTTTTTTTTTTGGGGTTTGGGGGGGGGGGGGGGCCGGGGGGGGGGGGGGGGGGGGGCGCTCTAGCGGTGGTGAGTGCGGTATCAGAAGCTTTGTCCCAGCTGATTCTGTTCTATCTCTTGGGTGCCTTTGCTGTGATGAGTAATGAGGGGTGGTTGGCAAGGGTGTGTGGTCCTTAGCAGGAAGAGGTGACTCAGCTCGGCAGTGGCTTCACTCCTTTTAATACAGAAGGATCCAGATGGTGAACAAGGGCAATTGATTATCTAAGCCAAGGGCTCTCTTTCGAAAGATACTGTGCGGTCATGCAGTATATGTATACTAAGTGGATTAGCAAGGAGATATGAGTCATGCTATCTGCTGTGTGTGGAGAATAACTATCCGTGTAGCTCCATTATGGATGATACCACTGGTGGAGAGGCCTGGCTACCTGCTGCCTACTGGAGACTGGGGTTGGCATGAGGTCTCATTGGGTGAGGCTCAGTGAGGACCAGACAGAGGTAGTCTCGTTAGGGTGGGTGACATAGCTAGAAGAACTGACTGGAATTTGATCAGCTCTGCCAACTGATGGTGACTGGCCACTATATGTGAAAGAGGTTAGCAATTTACAGGTGTTCTTAGACTTCGGGCTGCTGCTGGGGGCCTAGATAGGTGAGGCCCTTGAGCATTCTCCAGGAGGGCCCCTCACCTCTAGAAAATGCTTCCCACCCTGCTCTGCCCGGGCTGATGGGCTGCACTGCAAGGCTCATGGGGGAATTACATTGGGGACTGGACCTAAGGATGGTTATGGGGGATAGCGGTATTGGATCTAAGCTATTTAATCATAGAATCATAGAACTGGAAGGGACCTTGAGAAGTCATCAGGTCCAGTCCCCTGCACTCAAGGCAAGACTAAGTATTATCTCTGGACCATCCATGACAGGTGTTTGTCCAACCTGCTCTTAAAAATCCCCAATGATGGAGATTCCACAACCTCCCTAGGCAATTTATTCCAGTGCTTAACCACTCTGACAGTTAGAAAGTTTTTCCTAATGTCCAATATAAACTGCCCTTGCTGCAATTTAAGCCCATTTGCTTCTTGTCCTGTCCTCAGACGTTAAGAAGAACATTTTTTCTCCCTCCTTCTAACAATCTTTTATGTACTTGAAAACTGTTATCATGTCCCCTCTCAGTCTTCTCTTCTCCAGACTAAACAAACCCAATTTTTTCAATCTTCCCTCATAGGTCATGTTTTCTAGACCTTTAATGTAATGTTATAGTTACTTTGAATAAGGAATCTTGTAACCTTTCCCCCAGCTTGGGATGAGCCTTTCCGTTAGCTGGGTTTTATAGACCAAAATAAATAGACACAGTCCCCCTCCTTCCCACTACAGGCTTTGTGCACATGGGTATCAGGGTTTTTCCCATGTGCACTTGGAACTTGATCCTGCAGGCCTGCACCCCAGTGATCCCAATTGACTTTGGTTTGCTATGAGCAAGGACTGCTGCTACCTTGGTAAAGGTTGCAGACTGGGGTATCCAGGACGTTGCATAGGAAGTTCTGTGCACATAAGTGTTGGCACGCATAACTGTCTGGAATTTGAGAGGAGATGTCTGAGAGCACCATTATTTAATCTCTTACTAGAGAAACCAGCATTTCACAATCCTGGCTTCAGGCAAAGGAAGAGAACAACATGTGGGTCCACTCCCGCTCCCATTGAAATCAAGGTCAAAACTCCCATCAACTTTAGTGGGAACAGTCTGCACCATGTTATTTGTGCTTTGTGGCATGACTGTAATCCAAATTCAGTCTGATTTCTGTGTACCCTAGCTTATTAATAGACAAACTGAAGAGATATACCTGAGTTACACTTCAGACAAGGTGTAACCCTTCTGCCAGGTGGAACCGGCAGCAACCAGGGCCAGGTTCAATACCTAGGGGTTCCTTTTCAACAATGCAACACAGAACCAGCTCGAGCCCCCATCCAATAACCTGGGAAAATTACACACCACTCCCTGGGCACCTCTGAGAGACAATACTTCCCAGCTTGCAAGCACAGAGTCTGAGTGCAGAAAAGAAACTTTTAATGAAAGGCGGGAAGTCACCTGACATTAATTAGGGGAAAAGTTGCAAGCAGGATTCATAAACATAAAACTGTGAGCAGGACACCCACCCCAGAGTGAGTGGGGCAGAGCCTTACGCCTCGTGTTCTTGAGTTCTACAACCAAAAGTTCCTTTTCTGTGCCCCTCTCTGCTCCATCACCATACCCCACTCACAGTGATTGTCTTTGGTCAGTGAGGACCCAGGGTTCAGAGGTGCATTTGTGTGAGTTCACCTCCCGTCCAGGGAAGAAGGCACCTTGCTTCTCTCTGCCATCTGAGCACTTGCTCTGGCTGGCCACACCACCAGTTGCGGTTTCTCTCCACTGGCCGCCTTGCCAGCCGCTTGTTTGCCACTCCCACCGGCTGACTGCTCGCCAGTCCCACCGGCCGACTGTCAGTTACCTTTTGCTGCCACCTGCCTCTCTGCCGTGACCTCTGCAGGTCAGTCTCTTAGTAGTTGTCAGCTCCTAGTGATTTTCAGCTTTTTGCAGGCTGGGCAGAAACACCGCCCCACCACAAGTGATCTCAGCTCTCATTAAAGCACTTAAAATAACAAAGCCCTGGTCTACACTAGGACTTTAGGTCGAATTTAGCAGCGTTAAATCGATGTAAACCTGCACCCGTCCACACGATGAAGCCCTTTAGTTCGACTTAAAGGGGTCTTAAAATCAATTTCCTTACTCCACCCCTGACAAGTGGATTAGCGCTTAAATCGGCCTTGCCGGGTCAAATTTGGGGTACTGTGGACACAATTCAACGGTATTGGCCTCCGGGAGCTATCCCAGAGTGCTCCATTGTGACCGCTCTGGACAGCACTCTCAACTCAGATGCACTGGCCAGGTAGACAGGAAAAGAACTGCGAACTTTTGAATCTCATTTCCTGTTTGGCCAGCGTGGCAAGCTGCAGGTGACCGTGCAGAGCTCATCAGCAGAGGTGACCATGATGGAGTCCCAGAATCGCAAAAGAGCTCCAGCATGAACCGAACGGGAGGTACGGGATCTGATCGCTGTATGGGGAGAGGAATCCGTGCTATCAGAACTCCGTTCCAGTTTTCGAAATGCCAAAACCTTTGTCAAAATCTCCCCGGGCATGAAGGACAGAGGCCATAACAGGGATCCGAAGCAGTGCTGCGTGAAACTTAAGGAGCTGAGGCAAGCCTACCAGAAAACCAGAGGGGCGAATGGCCGCTCCGGGTCAGAGCCCTAAACATGCCGCTTCTATGATGAGCTGCATGCCATTTTAGGGGGTTCAGCCACCACTTCCCCCAGTCATGTTGTTTGACTCCTTCAATGGAGATGGAGGGAACACAGAAGCAGGTTTTGGGGACGAAGAAGATGATGATGAGGAGGAGGAGGTTGTAGATAGCTCACAGCAAGCAAGCGGAGAAACCGGTTTTCCCGACAGCCAGGAACTGTTTCTCACCCTGGACCTGGAGCCAGTACCCCCCCCGAACCCACCCAAGGCTGCCTCCTGGACCCGGCAGGCGGAGAAGGGACCTCCGGTGAGTGTACCTTTTAAAATACTATACATGGTTTAAAAGCAAGCATGTGAAAGGATTCATTTGCCCTGGCATTCGCGGCTCTCCTGGATGTACTCCCAAAGCCTTTGCAAAAGGTTTCTGGGGAGGGCAGCCTTATTGCGTCCTCCATGGTAGGACACTTTACCACTCCAGGCCAGTAACACGTACTCAGGAATCATTGTACAACAAAGCATTGCAGTGTATGTTTGCTGGCATTCAAACAACATCCGTTCTTTATCTCTCTGTGTTATCCTCAGGAGAGTGAGATATCATTCATGGTCTCCTGGTTGAAATAAGGTGCTTTTCTTCAGGGGACACTCAGAGGAGCCCGTTCCTGCTGAGCTGTTTGCCTGTGGCTGAACAGAAATGTTCCCTGCTGTTAGCCATGGGGACGGGGGAGAGTTGAGGGGGTAGCCACGCGGTGGGGGAGGCAAAATGCGACCTTGTAACGAAAGCACATGTGCTATGTATGTAATGTTAACAGCAAGGTTTAACCCTGAAAGACTGTAGCCACTGTTTTATAAAATATGTCTTTTTAAATACCGCTGTCCCTTTTTTTTCCTCCACCAGCTGCATGTGTTTCAATGATCACAG